ACAGTGGCCATATGGACATATTTTTAAAAGATCAGCATTACTAATCTTTAGGGAAATGAAAATCAACACCACAATTAGATATTATCTCACTGCAGTTGGAATGGCTCACATTAAAAAGATAAAAAATAACATGCTAGTGAGGATGTGGACAAAAGGGAATTCAAACACTGTTGGTGGGAATGTAAATTAGTACAGTCATTATGAAAAACAGTATGGAGATTTCTCAAAAAACTAAAAATAGAACTATCATAGGATTCAGCAATCTCATTGAATTTATTCAAAGGAAAGAAAATCAGCATATGAAAACAGTACTTGCACCACCATGTTTATGGCAGCACTATTTACAACAGTCAGGGGATAGAATCAATGTAAGTGTCAATCAACAGGTGAATGGATAAAAAATCTGTTATATACACATAATGGGATACTATTTAAGTGTGAAAAAAAAGTCTGACATTTGCAGCAGCAGGATGGAACTGGAGGTCATTACACAAAGTGAAATAAGCTAGGCACAGAATGATAAATATCGCATATTCTCTCTCTGTGTGGAATTTAACAATGTTGATCTTATGGAGGTAGAGAGTAACATGATGCTTACAAGAGGCTGAACTGAGGGGATGAATAGAGGGTGGTTATGAGAACAGCATATGGTTGGATAGAAGGAGTAGGGTCTAGTGTTTGATAGCACAGTAGGATGACATTACTTAGGAATAATTTATTTTATATTTCAAAATAGCTAGAAGAGACTATTTGAAATGTTCCCAACACAAAGAAGTGATCAATGTTTGAGATGATGGCCAGATTTGATCATTACACATTGTATGAGTGGATGATAATAGCATATGTACTGCATAAATGTTTAATTACTACATATCAATAAAAAGAAGATACAAGAAAAATATCATATAATCATATCAATAGATGGAGAAAAAGCATTTGTTTAAGTTCACCCTTCCTTCATGTCCAAAACTTTCAACAAATTAAATACGAATGGAGCGCACCTCAATGTAATATGTGCCGTATGTGATAGGGCCACGACCAACATCATACTCAGTACTAAAACTTGAAAGTTTTTCCTCTAAATTCAGAGAGGGCAAGTTTGCCTAGTCTTGTGACCTCTATATAACATGATACTGGAAAGTGTGGCCAGAAAAATTAGGAGAAAAAAAGAAATAAAGATATCCAAATAGGAATGAAAGAAGTAAAATTGTTTGTGTTTGCAGATGATGGGCTTTTATATTGAAGGGACACTAGACACTCCACCAAAAACTATTTAGCAATGAAAACAGTATGTTAATGGCCTATATAGATCCCAGAAATAACTCTATGCTATGGGGTCAGCTAATCTTTGACAAGGACACACCAAAAATATACAATGGGAAAAAATAATCTCTTCAATAAATGATGTTGGGAAAAGTGGGTTTTATGCAAAAGAATAAAATTGGACTCTTAGTCCAAAATGGATTAAGGTATTAAATGTAAGCGATGAAATTTAAAACTCTTAGAAGAAAATGGAAAAATCTCCTTGTGTTTGGTCTTGACAATGATTTTATGAATATGATGCCAAAAGCCCATGCCCCAATAATCGCAAAAACTGAACAATTGGTACTGTTTTAAGCTATAAAGCTTCTCTCTAGCCTTGGAAATTATAAGCAGAATGAAGAGAAAAACAATGAATTTGGAGACAATACCACTTATCAGATGGTTAATATTAAAAAAAACACTGAAATTCATATGATTCAATAGCCAATAAACAAACAAATAGTTAAAAAAAGAGCAAGAGACCTGAATAGACATATTTTTCAGTTAAAACGTACAAATGGCCAACAGGTATATGAAAATGTGCAGGACATATCTCATTATAAGGGGAATGCAAATCAATACCACAATGAGCTATTATCTCACATCTGCTAGGGTGACAATTAAAAAAAAGTCAAGAGATTAGTGTTGGCAAGGGTATGGAGAAAAGGAAATCTTGGACACTATTGTAATATGTAAGCAAATGTATGTATGCATATATATAGTATGCATGTATGTAATAGTTTTTATATAATATGTACATATATCATAGTATGTGTGTAATGTGTATGTAAATTGGAGGCTGGGCACAGTGGCTCATGTCTATAATCCCAGCATTTTGGGAGGCCAAGACAAGAAGATTACTTGAGCCCAGCCTAGGCAACATAGTGAGAACTTGTCTCTACAAATATAAAAATATTAGCTGGGTGTGGTGGCACACACCTGTAGTTCCAGTTACTTGAGAGGTTGAGGTGGAAGGATGATCTGAGCCCAAGAGGTTGAGACTACGGTGAGCTGTGACCATGCCACTGTACTCCAACTTGAGCAACAGAGTGAGACATAGACTCAAAAATTAAAAAAAAAAGAATGTAAATTGGCATAGCATTTATGGAAAAAACAGTAAGAAGATTCCTTAAAAAAATTAAAAAGAGAACTACCAACAATTTCTCTTCTGGGTATATATCCAATGAAAATGAAATCAGTATCTATCTGAAAGCAAGATCTGTGCCCTCATGTTTATTGAAACATCATTTCCAATAGCAAAGGTATGAAAACAACCTAAGGGTGTGTTCAGAGATGAATAGATAGAAAAAATGTGGTTTATATATATGTGTATATGTGTATGTATTTTTTACATATGTATGACTACTATACAGTTAAAAAAAGAAGGAAATCCTGCCATGTGTAACAATCTGGGTGAACGTAGAGGACATTATATCAGGTGAAGTAAGCCAGACACAGAATGACAAACACTACATGATCACTTATATGTGAAATCTATGAAGGCCAATCTCATGGAAGCTGAGTAGAATGTGGTTGCCAGAGTCTGGGGAGATGTTGGTCAAAAGGGATAAACATTTAGTCATAAGATGATTAAGTTCTGGGACTCTAATGTACAGCATGGTGACAACAGATTATAGTTCATTCTACTCTATTGTAGATTATTTACCTGAAATTTGCCGAAAGCTGATATTAAGGGTCCTCACAACATGCACGTGCACACACATATATATCACACAAACACACACACTAATAACCATGTGCAGTAATGGATGTGTTAATTTGATTGTGGTCATCATCTCACGATGTACATGTATATCTAATAACCACATTGTATTCCTTGAATATTTGTAATTTCTATTTGTCGACTACACCTCAATAAAGTTGAGAAAAGAACATCTGGAAAATATACTGTCAATATTTCTTTAAATATTTTCCCTTCCTCTTTTTCTGTAAGTCTGTTATGTATATTTTGGTATGATTGATAGTGTTCAACAGGTCTCTGAAGTTTTGTTTATTTTCCTTAATTTTTCTATTCCTTATATTAGATAATTTAAATCTACAAATATTAAAGATCACTAATTATATTTCTGCCTGTTCATACCTGTTATTGAGCCCTTTTTGTTGATTTTTTTCATTTTTGTTACTGTATTTTTCAAGTTCAGAATTTTTACTTGGTTCTGTGTTACACTTTCTGTATTGTTATTGTTTGCATCAGCTGTTTTTCTCTTCGGCAGTGAGGAGACATTAAATAGTGTTAAATGTTTGCCTGTGATTGCTTTTCTGAACAAGCCATTGAAATCCCCTCAACAATCATCCTGTTATTATTTTCTAATGTCTTAATTCTATTCATTGTATAGTAAAAAAATTACATTCACATACATATGTATTAAAAAACATAAATTTTAAAAATTGCCAGCAATTAGGAGGTTGGGTTACAGAGGATTGGGGAGGGGAGAGCATGGCATAAGGGTGCTGTCATCTACCCTGCTGCTGTCAGCTCCTCTCTCAGCCCAGTTCCAGGTCTGTCCGGATGCTCCACTGAAAACCTGGCAGGGCTGGGCTGAAGGATCTTCCTTCTTACCGAGGAGGGCATTAAGGGCTGAGACCATCACTCCAAGCTCTACTGCAACCTTCTTTACCCAGGCACCCAGCCCTCCGCTCACATTAGGAAACAGTCACCCAGTCTCTCAATAGGGCCTCTCACAGTCCTGACTGATCTTCCCAGAATCTTCACTACTCTTTCCTTCCTTTAGCATGTCCATTGCTGAGCTGATGTTGACACCTGTAGATGCTTGTCACTTACTAAAATTAGGGCCTTGGAAAAGTTATTTAATCTTCTTGGACGTCCAGGATATATATTTATTAGATGTCTTTAATGCTTAGATAACGTTGTTGCTTTGAAAATTTCATTAAACATATACTGTGGATTAGTGGAATTAATATAATGCTTCTTGCAAATAGTAGATATTCAACAAATACATGTTTCATGTAGCCAGGCCTCAGTAAGAGTGTCCAGATCTTTGGGATGCAAATAAAGTAGACATGACCATCCATCATGTCCCACAGAAGTCTAGAACCTTCTGTATAATTTCTATCAATTCCTAGGTGCTTGAGTTCTCAAGGTTACCTCTTAGAGCTCTTACTCTTCCCAGACTTCCCATCTCCCTGAACTCTACGTTTCTCTCCTATCTGTCACTTGGTGTCACTCATACTTTTCTGCCACCTTCCTTTAATTCTCCAAAAACATTATCAGCCTTACGCAACTGTGCTTATCAGCATATCAAAGTTTCTGTGGTTGGGACTTGAGCCTGTGTATGCGTTATGCTTTGGCACAGGATAGCTGGGACAGTAAAAATTAGATAACTGAATTTTTTCAGTCCTGGCATTTTGCCAGAGTGCAATATCTATTTGCTGACTCTCGTCCAGTGTTCCTAGCTTTCAGCCACATGGTTACTTCGTCTTCTGTAAGCTCTCTTCTTCCCCTTCCCATGCAAAACGTTTTTATAATGATGCAATTCTCAGAGAAATACTTTCTGGAGAGCTGCAGACATGGGGGTGGTCATGCCTGTGAGACTTGATCCCCCGTCTGCCTGAGTGTGGCCATGAATGAGTTGCCCAAATTCTGATTCCACATTAGGATAAGTTTCTAACTGTAGAATTCCTGAAGTACCTTTTATAGTAACTTCCCTCCTGCTGCCCTACACAGCTGTCTCCTCCCGCTGGATCATCTGGTAATGCAGCCGGTTCTCCAAGTAGGTGGCCAGCTCGGTGTCCTGAGCCTTCTCGGCCTTCTGCCGGGGCGTGTCGCCCTGCTGGTCTGTCTTCATGAGCGAGGCCCCGGCCTCCACGATGTAGTGGCAGATTGTGCGCTGGCCCAGGGCCGGGCCGCCTGGTGCAGACAGGTCTCCCCATTTTCTTCCACGGCATCGAGGATCTCCGAGGGGGCGTGGTCCAGCAGGTAGCGGACCACCTCCTTGCTGCCGGTGCTGACGGCTTGGTGCAGGAGCGTGCGGCTCTGCTCATCGCGGTGCATGAGGACGCCCCCTGCTCGATGCAGCCTCTGGAGTTTACAGAAGTCATTCCTCTTGGGAGCCTTGATCAGCTCGTCACTTTGGGTGGGTGCAGCATCTCCTTGCAGAGACTGGGGTGTGGGTGAGCAGGGTGAGGTGGGGAGAGGGGATATAGGGGTCGGGAGGTCAGGCCGGGTCAATGCCCTCAGCAGCTCAGGGTCTAGGATGTAAATCTCGGCCTGTGCGATCTCAGTCACATAGTTGAGGTGCTCCTGGGCCAGTCGATCCTGTAGAAGCGGCTGGCGGTGGTGGCATCTAGAATCACCACTTAGGGCACAGTCTCTGGCACGCTGGGGACTTAGCTTCAGCACCATCAGGCTCCTGCTGGAGCCTCTCGATGTGGGCACGGCAGAGCTCTAAGTCACTGTCTCCTGGGACCACCACAGTGCCCAGTGGCACAGAAGCCTCGAGTTGCTCCTTGTCATAATGCAGGGCCTCGTAGTCGTGCATGCTCACTCTGCTCACCTGGACCCGCAGCTGCTCGGGCACTGGCTGCTGGTCGCTGTGCAGGGGGGCAGTGCTCCGCCGCTTGGCCTTCTGCACCATGGTGGCCTGGTTGCAGAGCAATGCGACTGTGTGAGGCTGCGAGCTTGCAGGGCTCGCCGTCCACCTGCACTGGTATGGCCTTGGACGTGGAAAGCACCACCTCACGGCACTGCGTCAGCCGCTCACCGTGCCCGCCCACCTGCAGCGCAGCCAAGGACGTCATGGTGAAGCCAATGACCTCGAGGTAGCCGTCGTCGTGCCGCTGGGGCTCAAAGTCGTGGTGCTCCCCAGGGTGGCCCCAGGACATGGTGCCCGCGCAGTACCTGGGGATGTTCAGGAAAACGATGCACTGGGGTTTCAGGTCCTGAATCTTGGGGGTCAGGTCTGTTCCATCACACACCACTCAGATGTGCTTGGCCAAGTCCTTGGAGCTGCCCATCAGGAAGTCGGAGAAGGCTGTCCCGGCATAGAACATCTTATTCCGAAAGCGGTTGTTGAATTTCTCTGGGTTGGCCTCTTGAGACTCATGAAACTCCTGGGTCACGTGGGCATCAAAGCCCAGGCTGAAGTAGTTGTTGAAGACATCCAGGGGCAACCGGTCGGTGGCACCCTCGTCTCGCTCCTCGGACCCTGCATCAGGGTTGGGCTCGGCGTGGAGGTCCCAGTGGTCCAGCTGCACCACGTTCCCCTCCTCCACGTGGGAGAGGATCTTGGACACAGGCTCGTCTGTGTAGCCCCCGCTCCAGTTGAGGGTGCGGGCCAGGTCGTAGCCAGTACTCAGGGGCAAGATGGCAACAGGGGGTGGTGGTTTTAAGCGCAGCTGATCCAGGGTGGAGAGAATCCAGCCGACCGTGCCGTCGCCCCCGCATGTCAGGATCCACATGTTGTGCACTTTGCGGTACATCTCCAGTGCCTCCTTGGGCCCTCCCTGGCTCAGGTCAAAGACTTGTCGGGGATTGAGATACCAGAGGAAGGACTGGATGATCTTGGCGCCCTGGTTGCCCCCACTCTTGGGGTTCACAAACACCAGCAGGGGCTTCGTGAGGGGGGATGGGGTGGGCCTGATGATGAAGGGTCTCCTGCGGCCCTCCTCGGGCCCTTTCTTGCTAGATTTCCTCTTGAAGGACGCTCTCTTTTTCTTCTTGCTTGCTTTGAGGGTGTTCTGGGGCCTCCGGGCAAGGAGGATCCGGGTGGGCAGGATGACCACGGTTGCGTGGACCCCCAGGGAGCACGGCTCCTCGATCTGCTGCAGCATGAAGCAGGACACCTTGCTGTGGTATGGTTGTTTGCACCAGGAACAGCTGATGGCCACGATCTCCTTGCTGTGGAAGGTGAACTTCTGCTGGAAGCCCTTCCCACAGTGCCGACATTTGCCGTCCTGGCGTCGCCTGTGTACCCAGAGGTGCCGTACAAAAGGTTGGCTCACGGTCATTCCTGGAGCCTGATTCACGGAAGGATGGCTTACAGCGGAAATTTATCTTCTCCAGTTGCTCGATGCAGTGGGTGTGCACCACAATCTTGCAGGCCGCACACTTTCTCCGGGACACTGACTGCTGCAGCATCTTGGCTACCCAGTACTGCTCCCCAACATAGCAGAAGTCCCCCGACACGTTGGTCTCGTACCAGGTGTGCTCCCCATACGTCGCTGACTCACTCCAGTCCACTGTGCTCCGGATCTGCCTCTCTGAGGCGATGCAGGGGGCCCCAGAAGCAGGAGGCGGTGGGGCCAGGTGGGGAAGGCCCGACTTGGTGACGGCTTTCCTGTGCCCAAAGAGCCGCAGCCCCGGGAAGCGCCGCTTGTTGAGTCGCGGCGGTGCCCTGTTGGGCTCGGACCGGCGTCG